AATAAGCATGGATTTTTTGGCTACGTAGAGTTTCAAATTTATTCTCTAAAATAGGAAGTTAGGAAATTCGATGCTTTGATTGATCGGATACCTTTATCTGGGGAGCAGATTCAGATTTATTCTTGTAAGAGTGTAGAGCTTTGGTCTTTGTTAAGGAATAAAGTTTCTCAAATGTTCCAAAGATCCAAGTCTAAGTGGCTTAAGGAAAGTGATTTTAACTCTGGTTTTTTTTCATGCTTTTATCAAGAGTAGGAGTAAGTGGGTGTTATTTTGGTCTTGAAGGTTGATGAAGTTTTGTTAGAAGGTGTGTTTGAGATTAATAAAGAAGTGTTTGAATATTTTAGAGATCCCCATGGAGCCAAATTTTGACAGGCCTCACCTGGATGAATAATCTTTCCCTGCCTCTGATGATGATAACTTTACCTTGACTACTTTTTTTACTCTCTAGGAGCTAGATGGTGATATTTCCTTGTGTGATGATAACACGAGTTTTGGCCCTGATAGTTTTACTTTCCCTTTTTAAGAAGATTTTAGAATTTGTTTAGGGAAGATGTTGGGTTATTTTTGATCAATTTCATCAGTTTTCTTTGTTTCCTCATTGATTTGCTTAATTATTTCTTTGGTTGGTTATTTATACAAGTTAGTGGCAAAAGTGTTAGTTGTTAGACTAGGGGAGTTCATGGAAAAACTTGTTTACCCAAACCAATCTGCCATTCAAAATGGAAAAATGTTGGTGGATGGCATAGTGAATTTGAAAGAAGTAATTGACCTGGCTAAGAAATCTAGGAAGTCTTGTCTCACTTTCAAAGTGTATTTTAAGAAAGCATATGGCTTTGTGAGTTGAGAGCTTCTAGAGTATATGTTAGTTAGATTTGAATTTAATGAAAATTGGAGGTATTGGATTAGAGCATGTTTTTTTGCTGGGAATATCACAGTGCTGGTCAATAGTTGTCCAACTTAAGAGATTAGCATTCACAGGGGTCTAAAGTAAGGAGACCCTATAGTCCTCTTTCTTTTCCCGCTTGTGGCAGAAGGGTTAAATGGTTTTTGTTATGAGGCCATTGAGTTGGGTCTTCTCACTGATTTTAGGATAGGAGCTTCATGTTTTATGGTCTCTCATCTTCAGTATGCAGATGATACTCTTATCATATGTTGTGACCCTTTGGACTATAAAGGTTATTCTTAGGGATTTTTAGCTAGCTTCAAGCCCCCATATGAACTTTTCTCAGAGTAGTATGATATGGTTTAATTTGGGCTCTGTTTTTTTCTACAAATTGTACATGTGGTTTTCCTCACTATAAAATTGAGACTCTGCCTTTTAAATAGCTAGAGTTACTTTGGATCTATTCCCATTCGAGAAGCTACTTGGGATCCCCTTATTAACCTTTTTTATCTAAGAGGCTTAATTCCATGAAGCACAATTATGTTAGCTTAAGGAGTGGATAGTTTTCCTCAATAGAGTTCCTAATTTTATCCATATTTTCTTCCTGTCTCTTTTGAAAATACATGTAAAGGTTTGGAGGAAAATAGTTTACATTTAAAGAAGGTTTATGTGGGTGTTAAGGGAGAATCTATTTTTTTTGGGTTAGTTGGATCAATGTGTGTTAGCCTAAGTATAAAGGTGACTTCGTGGTGAGACATCACTATCTTGTTAACTTGACTCTTTTGGCTAAGTCACTACAACGAATAACGCTTTTTATCATGAAGCTTTAATCTCAAACATGCTAAAAACCAAGAGTATATTTACTAGGAACTCCACGTTTGATTTTTTTTAATAAAATAAACAACATGTTACCTCGGCGTTATAAAAAACCGAGGTAACACAACTATAAGTGAGTGCCATTTTTTACACATAAAAAATAATAAACATGTTCTCTTGGTTTTTTGGATGACAAAGGTAATATAGCTATAAGGGATATCGCTTCAAAACCCCGTTACCGCATTTATAAAAAAAATCAAACTATTTATCACTTGGTGTCTTTTCCAAATTCCATGTTTTTCTTTGTTAATTAGTAATTGTCAAAATCTTTGTTATCAATAAACAAGAATAGGAAATAAATAAAAAAATTAATATTTCATTGATAATAAAAATACAAGACAATAGAGAAAACTATTCCACATATCCAAACTTCTCAATCCACTCAACTTCAACATTATTCCTAACTATACCTAACTTAGAGAAAAGTTCAGAAAGAACTCTTCCATGTGGTATGAGGAAAATTATTTCCTCCCAAGAAATGCCTATCATTTTTTCAAGAATTTGAAAATGGTAAGAGGAAGATTAATTCCAACGTTGTAGGTGAGGAAGTATAAGAGATGCTTGTCATACCAAGTAAGTGTTTCCAATTGTTTCTCTTTTGGGCGGATATTTGACGTTAGAAGTTGAAACAAAAATTTTGCAATAGGGAGTAAAGAAGTAGGACTGGTGGGCTTATCTTGGTTGGCATAAACTCGGTAAATGCGGGTTAATAAGACATTGATATAGGACTGGATGACTTCGTCATGACTAGTTGGCACAACGAAGGCATTCATCCAGAACTCATTAACGAGATTACTGTATATGGGGCCATGTTGAATGTGAAAGTAACCATTCAAACTTTGTTTGTTAATGTGTTTCCTTAGTTCAAAACGATTGAAATCAACAAAGTTTTCATTGATAACGAACAAAAAATTTGCATCCTTTTTTGAATAACAAAACAACTTTGAAACAAGGAAACAAGACACAAAGAGTTTGAAATGATACGTTGAAAATTGGAAAATACTTTGAAACAATGTTTTAAGACACAAAGAGTTGGTAATGAGACATTTAAATAGCTCAGAAGCCTCTTTGAAAATCCAAAAGAGACGTTACGACTTGAATATAGTTGATCATTGTTATTCTAGTGATGTGATTCCAATGCAAGGGCACAAAGTTTCAATTAGTTGGCTTAAATGCACTTTTGGTCCCCCTATTTTCACTTTTTTTAAGTTTTAGTCCCCCTATTTTAAAATCCAACTTTTTGGTCCCTAAACTTTACCTCACTCGGGATTTCATTGATCGCCCTCTAGTTTTGCATATGTTACGCTATTATTAATGACATGAACTGATACAATAACTCCATGTTAGATGAACACACATTGTAGGTGTTATACCCCAAAATTTTCCCTCTCATTTATCAAATATTTTCTCACAAAGATCTCTCTTGGTTCAAGACTGCACTAGGGTTGATCAACTCAAGACACCTCCTTAAGCACTAATGACTAAAATTAGGATTTGAGATTGCACAAGGATATTTAAACTTTCAATGCCTTATATGACTTTCATGGATCATTATGGACCCCCAATATTACCCATGTCAAGTTTCAAGCCTTGGATCACATTTTTGCTCAGTCAATTGAGTAGTTGACCTAAAAATCAACTGTATTAGGGAAAAAGTCAACTGTGGCAAATTTACAGTCAAACTTCACAATTTTTTATCCATAGAAACATTATTGACGTCTACACCTTATTATGCTCCAGCAAATGAACAGGTCGAAGCCGCAAACAAGGTAATTATTGGTTTAATAAAAAAACTTGTAGGGATAAAACCAAAGAATTGGAATAAGACCCTGAATCAAGCTTTGTGGGCTTGTCGAACATCGCCAAAAGAAGCAACAAACACAACTCCATTTCGTTTGACTTTTGGGCATGACGCAGTTCTACCAGTGGAGATATATTTATAGTCAGTGAGAATTCAGAGGTAGGCCAAAATTCCTTCTAACTATTATTGGGAAATGATGATGAATGAACTAGTTAATCTGGACGAAGAAAGGTTGTATACCTTAGAGGTCCTGAGAAGGAAAAAAGAGAGGATAGCTAGAGCATACAATAAAATAGTCAGGGGAAAAGTTTTTTCGAATGATGATTTAGTGTGGAAAGTAGTATTGCCCATGGATCGAAAGAATAAGTTGTTGGGAAAATGGTCTCCACATTGGGAATGAGTTTTTCCAATTATCCAAACATTCACGAATAACGCTTATGAAATAGAAGAGTTGGCAGAAGATCGAAAGATTTTGAAGATAAATGATAAGTACTTAAAAAGATGCAAACCTATTCTTCAAGAACTAAAGATTTCGACAAAATAGTAAAATTAACAAAATAAAATCCGAAATGGTGTCATAAAATGCCAAAAATGGCACTATCTAGAAATTACATAAATTACATAAAATACAAACAACAATACATCAAAGTTGTCAATATGATTAGAAAGGCAAGTTATCCTTCATTCTGTCATACTTGGTCTTCGCCAGTTTCAGCCTACAGTCGATAAATGATTTGCTAGCATGAAGGGCAACTATCTCATCTTCAAGTTTCTTGGTTGCATCCACATATTGCACACTTTGAGCAATTCCGCATTCCATTTTAGTGTAATTCACCTACTCAATAAACTTTTGGCGCGTTTCCGTCTGGGAAATCTTTTCTATCAACTCCTTGATTTGTTCTTTCCAAAAGGAAATAAAATGAATATAGGTATCAAACACTTCTTTGGGCATTGTTAAATTCTTTGCCAAGTCTCTCAGCCTTGTTCGTTGAGTCAAGAGTCTTCGACCATTCAGTTTCTTGTAGAATTTTTTTTTCTTGAAGCTTTGAGGTCATGTCCCATTCCCTAAGGAAATCTGCACTGTTTATGTTAATTAATGTAGTCACGTCCATTAGAATTTCAGCAGTCTCAATAGGGCATTAAACTATGTCAATTTGGTTTATCAACTTCTTCAGTACAACACTTGCAATAGCATTATTCTTCAAGACTTCAAATAAGTCAGCTTTGAAAACTTTCTCAGTGCTTCAAAAACTTTCGCCATCATTAGCCTTACATACTCAAGAGGCTTATCTTTCTTCAGTGCATCTAGTGTTTCTTGAGAGAGTTTTGGCAAAGCATTACGTTGGATTTGTTGGTTTGTAGAAGTCATGTTGTCTTGGGAGATAGCTTGGATTTGAGGATCTTTTTCCTCTACCCCTTATTTTCTTCTTATTCTGTTATTTATACATCTTTAGCAAAGAACGATGCAATTTCATCATCATTAAGAGGTTCGTCATCATCAGGAAGATCATCAGCAAATTTAATCTTTTTGGGTGAAGAGTCGCTAGGGCTATCAATTTTTTTCCTCTTCGTCATCACTAGCCCTTTTGGTCCTTTGATGTATCTATGGGTTGTTCTCAATTTGAGGAATGTCTCCTTTTTTGGATTGAACAGTTGTGTCAATATTGTTGATTGTAGATGAATACCCTTTGGTGAATGGTTTATCACTTGACAAAGGATAGTATGAAGCAGCACCATTATTAGGAAAAACGTTGTGCTTATTTGGGGATTCAGTGGGAGTTGGCTGACTTTCCTGTAAGATAAAAAGAATGTTAGTTCGAATAAAGAACGATGCTGATCAAAGAAGAATAATTAGTAAAAGTTACACCTTTTGTCCATCAAGACTTGAGTTGTCACTTTCGACCCGTTCTAAGACTGCGCCTCCAGATTGTTGGGTCGTGCTTTTTTCTTTGGGCTTTGGGGGCAGTATAATGATTTCAGGTTTCTACTTTGTTGGCTGTGAAGAAGCTGCACCAGAAGTCTTTGTCTTCTTCTTCTTCTTCTTTGACTTCTTGGTTTGTAGAGAATGAGACGAGTGTCTTCATCATCTTAGATTTCTGCTTGAGTGTCATGAGTGGACTTTCCTTTGTGCGAAGATTTTGGAGGTAATTGACTAGCTTGAAAGAATAATACTGTTAGAAGAAGTAGTATAGTACAAAGTGCAGGCAATATTTCAAAGCATACTATTGCAACTGGTTTTTAATCAGAGTCACCAACCTTAATTTTTATCCTAAAGGGAGAGAGTATAAAGGAATAACCCTAAAAGTTATAGATTCTAGGTTTGGACTCAGTTTTAAACGAAAGGAAGGTGTTAGGCACCCCTCATCTACCTCGTTCACAAGGATATCAGGTTTAGAAGCGCGCTTTTAGGAAATAGGGTTTTTAATTACTTATTTGGATTTGAATTTTAGTTAGGGAGACTCGCCACAATTTTTGATCGTATGCCTACGTATCCTCTTAAGAGGAATCAGAGTCCCATTTTGTAGTTCGCGGTTTTGTTTGTGTTTTTTATGGATCGCAAAATATGTTTGAATTCCCCGCATACGTGGTCTAAGAGTGTGAATAGCAGAGTTTGTTAGACCAAGTATGCAGTTAATTTAAATATATTCACGTCCCTTTTCGAAAATTAATTCTGTGAATTAATTTAATTTGCAAAGAAAAGATTTTGTGTTTAATTGAATACTTTTTTATACGTAGAGCGAGGGAGTCTGATATAGTCTCCTTGTCACGTGGCCAGATATTGGCCCCGTATCGCTCGCAGATAGGTTATTTAGTAAGTATTTTAATAATTTGATGTAAAATATTAAAATTATATTTAATTTGAAAAGAAGCATGACTAATACATGAGTTTATTTAAATTTAATAGAGAGTGTTTAGTAATCATATGAGTAATTGCTTTGTATTTATAATAATTAAATAATTAAAATAATTAATTTAAATTAATTAAAATAATTAATACTAATTTAACTGACCAAAGTTAATTAACTTTGTAAAAAAAAGACTGGGCTAGAAGTCTACATTTAATTGGGGTGTATTCCAATAGTAATTGAGCAAGGGAAAGAAAATAAAGGCCCAATATATTAAGCACAGGTCCTAATCCCATCATTGCCCTAATTATGCTAATTAAAATAAATAAATATGAAATTAAAAAAAAGAACAACAAGGGAGGCATCTGGGACGGCACCCTTCCGTCAGTAAGTTTTGTTGAACTTTTCAACCAAATATTTCCAGCCAACCAATTTTTGACAAGTGGCAAATAAAAATAATAATAGAAAACAAATTATGTAAATAAGAAGAAGTATATTGAGAACCAAACAGAGATCTGATATCTCTTTCTCTCAGTCACGTTTCCCCTTCCTTTTAAATCTTCTTCTTCATTCTAATTTTTTTCAATTCATTCTTCTTTACCTTTTCCTATTTTTGATCCTTCTCTTGTTAAAGTAATGGAACAAAAGCAATCTGGCCACAAAACCTACAGACAACAAAAACATGAGGTCAAGAAAAAAAAGAGAAAGAGACTTAACAATAATGGCAGCTGATGGAGATTGCGACTTGAGGGCGGAGGTTGCAGTCACGGATATCGTCGTCGGCGCGGATGGCGCGCGGATGGTCGGCGGTGCGAACAGAGACGGAGGCGCGTCGGTGGTGAGTTGAGCGATTCCCGGCGATTGGAGGTGGCGCGGTAACGCGATTTGACATCGGTTGGAGGGAGGGTTCAGTCTTGTTTCACCGACGGAGGTTATTGTTGGAGCCGCGTGAAGCTGGGCGTTACGGCAGCGTTAAGATCTCGCGGAGGAGTATTCGGTGGTTGGAGCTGGAGGGGCCGGAGTCGCAGACAGATTGATGACCAGCGGAGCTTGAGTCCAGCGGTGGTGTGGCTTCATTCTTCCTCTTTCCCAGTATTTTTATTATGTAATCATCTCCCTGTACTGCTTTGTCCCTCTCTGTATCGTATCTCCTCTTCTTTTTTCTACTGTAATGCTCTTTTTCTTTTTTTCTTCTGTAGATTAAAGCTTTGCCTTTATAGATTTTTTTTAGAAAATTAGAAATTAGGGAAGAATTAAGTTTGTCTTATAAATTAATTTTAGAATTGATTAGGGTTTATGTAGTTTAGAAAATAATACTGATTTGGTTTTGTAAAACAATAATTTAATCATGTTTCCATTTTGGAGTTTTGAAATGTTTCTCCATTGAGTAGATTTTGTCTCTGTATTAGGCCTCTGCAAGCTTAAATGTAAACAAATATTTCCGTATTTGATTATCTGAATAACTAAATGTAAGATTTGGTTGGATTATTGTAAAGAAGAAAAAAAACAGATAAACAAATATACCGATACAAGCTTCGTTTAATCCGTACAATGACAATTTTTTTTTGATTTTGGGCCAACAGGTTTTTTGTTTTAAATTTGGGCCTAGGCTGGTACCTCTTTTTGGACTGTTGAACCAACTTTTTTTTAAATTAAGTTAAAGCTTCTTTCCCAAATAAGACTGCTGTAATTTTAGTTAAAAAAACAATAATAAAAATAAAAATGTTACTTTTAATATAATAATATTAATAATAAATAATAACAATAATTAATGTAAGTAAACATTTTCATTTTTCAAAATAAGTCAGAAACTTGTAATGGACCTGTTCTAGACTGGGCCCGACAGGCCCAAAAGCATTACTAAGGCCCAATCCAAAGGGACTTACTGAGGACCACGCCGAGCAAATGGGTCACATCTGTGCCCGACATCCTGATGTCCAGCTCGACATCCCGCTGTCCAAATCCACGTCCTGACGCCCAGCACGACACCCTGCTGTCCAGCTCGACGTCCTGGCGTCGAGCTCGGCACCCTGTTGTCCAGCTCGACGTGGTCTCGAGCAACCCAGCTAGGGCAGACTCAGTCCACCGTTCCCCCAACGATACTCCGGAAAGACCGCGTCTCCGTCCGCCCGCACTTCACGCAGAACATCCAGGAAGGGGACCACGTGCGGGTCCCCACTACCCACGTAGAACCTGGCAGTTCCTCCATTGGGCCAAATCCGCCCGGCCCAATGGAGGAACCTTGGCCCAGCGCTGGGGGCTATAAATACCCTCTGTTTTCAGAGGGTCAGGTATTCATCATTCTAACCTCAACTTGCTATTATCTGCTCGTACTCCTACTTACTTCAGCATCGGAGTGTCTTGCAGGTACCCCCCCACCTCGTTCAAGAAAAGCTTTCTGCTCGGAGCCAGCCGTGACGGTCCATTCCTGATCAGGTGAGATCAGTGGCGCCGTCTGTGGGAACAGCTTCCCCGTCTAACGAACAAATTCTAAGGACCAAAGCTCAATTCAATTACCTGTCATGGCTGACCCAGCTCACGACGAGCAGCCCGTCCGTGTCGCCGACACTAATAACGGCCCCGCGGACAAGAACGGACACCTCGACAATCCCGGTGATCCCGGCCACAATGCCATCCCTGTGACAACCGCCCTTGGACCTTCCTCCCGCAGGGACGGGAACACTGCGTCATCCTCGACGACCCCTCCAGCACTCGAGGACGACCCGGTAGCTCTCGCCCATCACAGAGCTGCCCGGTTCTTTGAAGTCTCAGTTCCTGCCGGGGCAGATGCCACGACTCAGGCACTGTTCGCGGCCATCAACCAGACAAATTATCTCATATTCGCCCAAGGAGAAAGACTAAGGGCACTAGAAAATGATCGACGACCCCCGAGGAGGCACTAGAGGCCACCTTCTCCACCTCCTCGGGTCGAAGAAGTTCGACACCCTTCTCCCTCGCGGAGACACTATAGGGAGAAATCCAGGAGCCCCTCTCCCCGGCCAAAGCAGAGGCGGCCCCAATATGAGAGACAGCACGTCATCCCTACCGAAGAACCCAGTCGCGACCCCTCAAGGAACGACAGGAGGCACGCCGGAGACGGGCGGGTGACCTTCAACCACCGAGCATCACGCTCGAGGGAATCTCAGCACGACCATCGTGCCAGACATAACTACAGGACCCCTTCTCTTTCTCCAGAGAGGAGCGACGAGGACGACCCCCGCGGTCCCCTATCGCAGGCCATCATGGATGCACCTATCCCCCCGGGGATGGAGAAACCCCCGCATCTGAAGGAGTATGATGGAGTAGCGGACCCGGTCGACCACATTGACGGGTTCGAAGCCATGCTCCACTACCATAATGTCGGGGGCCCATCAAATGCCGCCTTTTCCCCACAACTCTCAGGAAGGCGGCCATGGACTGGTATAAAGGGCTCGCCCCGGGCTCAATTACATCGTGGCGGAACCTGAAGAACCAGTTCATCAGTTCCTTCACAGCTTCTCGGCGCCACCCGAAGACCGAGGCAGCCCTCGAGGCCATCATCCAAAGACAGGATGAAACCTTGAGGGAATTCATCAACCGCTTCAACCGGGAAGCAATACAGGTCCCCTGCGCGGACCATATGAAAAGATATTTGCTGGAGAGGGGCCTCCTCCCCGGCACAGAATTCAGAAAAGCTGTGGGTATTGAGCCACCTGCGACTTTTGACGCTCTCCTCGACAAAGCCCGAGCATACATGGACTACGAGGAGAGAGAAGCTGCCAACAGGGCACGAGACTCCAGGGCTCGCGCTCCCAATCATAGCAGCAGCTCACGACAAGACCCTCCTCCCCGACGAACCGGGGAGAAAAGGAAGGAAGATCGACCCCGAGAGGTCCGAGAACAAAGGGGCCCCTCGGGCCGTTTCACTGAGTACACTCCGCTCACGGCTTCCCGCGAGCGTATTTTGGCGGAGTGTGCTAGCACAGATTTCAGAGACGGTGGCGTCAAGCGTCCCCGACCTGCTCCTGCCAAGCCAGGGGCAGACAAAAATAAATACTGTCAATACCATAGGAGTCATGGTCATTTGACAGAGGACTGCGTCCACCTCAAGGACGCCATTGAAACCCTCATCAAGGGAGGGAGGCTCGCACAGTACAGGCGAAACGACGCTCCCCGTCGTGACGCCCACGAAGCTAAGGAGCCCGAAGAGGATGCACGACCATCAGACGAGTCGGTGCCAATCCAGACCGCTTTCTCGGTAACCAGGCCCGAGGATTTCGAAATTCCCGAGCTCCTGCAGGAGCCCCTGACAACACACAGCAGGTGGGAATACTTCCCCTCCGCCATGGTCATCAGCGGGGGCGGGTTCAACGACCTCACCATCAATTCAGCCAAGAGGAAGTTGGACGAACTGATCGACACAGCTCCTCCTCAAACTGTGACGTTCGAAAGGGTGAAGGGCAGGTCAGAACCCATCACCTTCTACTTAGAAGAGCTCCCCGGCGGAGCCCCGAACGCAGTCATCCCCTTGCTGATAAGGGCAAAGATGGCCAATTTTGACGTGCATCGCATCCTGGTCGACGAAGGGAGTTCCGTCGATGTGATGTACAGCCAGCTGTTCCGGACCTTGCAACTGGACGACTCACACCTCTCTCCGTATGTGGGTTCAGACCTTCAAGGCTTCAACGGCTCGACTTCCAAACCTTGGGGTTATGTCGAGCTCCTGGTGACGTTCGGGGAAGGAACAACTACAAGACAGGTCAAGGTCCGCTTCCTCGTCATTGACTGCCCGTCCCTATACAATTGCATCTTGGGGAGGCCGACATTGGCGGAGCTGACAGCGGTGCCCTCAACTGTCCATTTAAAAATGAAGTTCTATACCAAAAGGGCAAGGGTAGCCACTATCCAGGGAGACCTCGCCGCTGCCCGCAGGTGCTTCAACGCCGCTTCAAGGGGACGGGATACCGTCGACGTGGGGACCAGACCCACCAAGAAGACAAAGCAGGAGCCCGACAGAGCATCCCCCGAAGAAGAAGTCCAGAAAGCTCCACCAAAGGTCGACTCCATAGCCCTCGACGCTCGCTTCGACCAAGACGAGCCATCCAGCAGCGAGCAAATCCCACTCCGACCTATTCCGGACGGCGATTTTGAACTCGTTCCCCTCGGAGCAGACCCGACCAAGGGAGTGAAGATTGGCAAAGACCTCCCCGACTTGGCCAGGAAGCAAATCAAGGCCTGTCTGCGTGAGAATGCTGATCTCTTCGCCTGGAGCGCTGCAGAGATGCCCGGACTCGATCCTGAGGTCGCCTGTCATCACCTCGCCATTGATCCAGCCGCCAAGGCCGTAGTACAACGTAGGCGTAGGCAGTCTCCAGAAAAAACGGAGGCTGCTGAAAAAGCTGTAAAAGACCTCCTAGAGGCAAATTTTATTTCTGAAGCCCGGTACTCCACCTGGCTGTCAAATGTTGTACTTGTTAAAAAGAATAATGGAAAATGGAGAATGTGTGTTGACTATACCGACCTCAATCGGGCTTGCCCGAAGGATGCTTTTCCTCTACCTAACATTGACATGCTGGTCGACAATTCGGTCGGCTACAAGACTTTGTCGTTCATGGACGCCTACTCGGGATACAATCAAATCCCAATGGCTCTGGGCGACAAACGCTGCACAGCGTTCATGACCAGCTCGGGCAACTATTACTACAACGTAATGCCCTTCGGACTGAAGAACGCCGGTGCAACTTACCAACGCATGATGAACAAAGTGTTCAACAAACAGATTGGCGACATGCTCGAGGTATATATGGACGATATGATCGTCAAATCCCGAGCAGACACCGATCACGCAGCCCATCTCAAGACAGTCTTCGCCCAAGCAAGACAGTGCAAAATGAGGTTCAACCCCGACAAGTG